GCTCAAGCGACGTCTCGGGGCGTCGAAGGCCCTTTTGATTCTCCTCCTCCTCTCGCCCCAAAGCGGGCGCAACATCGGAGTGTCCGCGAAGGGCCGATGCCGGCAAGCTACACATAAACACTCAAGCGACGAGTCGGGGGGGATCAAGGAGGCAGGAAGCGGAAGGAGGACCGGGAAATCTGGATCAGGGAAATCGTCGGCCCCAGGGGGCACAGGTCGGAAGATCTGGCCAGCCTTGGAACAGAAGCGCCTTCCCCTTGCGCGCTCGTGGTCGTCGGGGCCCGTCGAGGCCATGGAAGTGGTCTGGGGCGCTGCGCGCGAGCTCCAAGTGGCCGAAGTGGCGGGCCAGAGAAGCCCTGGGGCCCTTGGGGCCCCCAGAGATGGGCCAGAGAGAGCCTCGGGGGCCCCGAAGACGGTCCACGACGACCCCCAAGAAGCCGCCATGCCCCCAAAGATCGCTCCGAAACGTCTCAGGAGGCCCCCAAGAGCACTCCCAATAAGGCCCCAAGAGGCAACGTTCATTGATTGTCTATCGTTTTTTTTTGGGGGGGGGGGTAATTTTCGGGTTCCCCTCTGTTCAGCTTCCCGACGCTCCAAGATGGCGGTATCCTGGGCGTCCGAAGCCGCCTGGGAAGCTCGAAAATCGCTCCACAATCATCCGAAAGGGCTTCCAAGCAGTCCAAGAGAGCCCCGACGCGGCACAACAGGGTTCCAAGATGACCTGAGAGAGCCCCATGACAGCCCAACATGGCCCCAATACGCCCCCCGAAGCATTCCAAATCGCGACCCGGTCGTCCAGGGAGACCGCGGTTGGACGCAGGCCGGCCCGAGGAAACCCCCACGGGGCCCCCAGAAGACGCCCAAGAGGCCCCCAGAAGGCTTCAAGAAAGCCTGAACAACTTATGTGAAGCCCAGAGGCTCTCCAAGGAGGAGCCTCTGCAAAAAGAGCCGAGGAGGATAATGATAATGCGCGGGGCATGGCGAGAATGAAGAAAAAGAAACGTGGAGGAAGGATTAGAACTGCGATACCGGAAAAAGGCAACAAACAGTTATCGCTAAATTGTCGGCTTGGCCTTTCTGAGATTCCGCCTGCGTGCCAAACTTCAAGGACCAAGGCACATGGCGCGAACCGCCGCTGCAGTCTTGTAAATGCATATGGTGGGGACACAAGGCCGCGAGGCCCGTGAGTCATGCGCAACAAATTCAAAGCACCAGACAATGCTTGCACAGGGCCAACGGGCAGGGCCCCCACCGGGAGCAGCGGCAATCCACGCGCCCCTCGCAGGCCCTCAAGCCTGGGGTCCACAGCCTGCGCCCGCGCGGTCGCCGCGCGCACCGAGGCGCTCCAGCAGCCGCTTCACGGGTCGCGAGCGGAGCGCGACCGCTCAAGCCCGCTTATCTCCGCGCAGAAGGCCTTCATCAGGTCGTCTACGTCCTGCTCGCGCTGGTTTCGGCGCCGCCGCCTCAGCCGCGACATCGGCCTCGCCAGCGCAGTCGCTCGCAAGCTCGCTCTCGGACTGCCGACCCGCTTCGGTCCTCTCGACCGTCGCGAAGCCGTCCGAGGCCACCGCGCCGCCCCGCCCAGAGCGAAGGAGGCCGCCCTAGGCCTTGACGGTGACGGCTGCGTCATGTGAGCGCCAGACAGACATGAGGCGCCGCAGATCCTGAACCGACCTGCAGGAGCGAGAACCCGCCCGCACCTGTTCCGAGAACTGCATGGTGCCCCTAATGTTTGCGAGTGAGCGCACGACCAGCTCCTTCAGCTCGTCCCAGACGTCCTGGACCTGCTGCCGCACGCGCTGCTCCGCCAGCCGCCAGCCCGAAGCCAGGCCCTCCACGAAGGCCTCCACTTCGGCATGCTGGCCCACCAGCCAAACTCCTGGGGACAGGCACTCGTTGCACCGATCGCCTGGCCCTTCGCCTGCACATTCCGCCAGCGCGGCCAACCTGGCATCATATGCCGAGGATACGGCACGACCCTCGCCTGCCGCGGGCGCTTCCACGACGCTGCCGCCGCCGAACACCCAGTCGTCGCCGTCCTCGTCGGGCGCCTGCAACGCCGCCCGCGCGAGCAGGTCCGCCTCGAGTAGGGGGCCACATGCGAGCCCTAACCCTACCCCCCGCAATTTTTGAGGGGGAAGGTGGGGTTCACTTCGCTCGGGAACTCTCGAACGAAGTGAACCCCACCCTCCCCCTCAAAAATCGTGGGGGGTAGGGGTGGGGTTCGCATGTGGCCTCATATCGAGGTCCACCACGTCCAGGCCCATCGGGACCTCGGGAAGCGTGGTCGGCTCCTCGAACCGTTCCCGGAGGCGCGGCCCCCGCTCAGCAAGACGCCGTGCGGACAGGGGCGCCCCGTCCTCGGGCAGGCTGGCGGTGTGTTGGGCGCACTTGCGCACCAGCACGTGCCCAGGCCTCGCCCGCGCTCCCATGACCCCCGCGACCAATGTTGGCCGAGAGAGGCGCTCTCTCCTTGCCACCTCGTCGCCGAGCGCCCCGAGTGCGGCTCCGCTCCAGTGCCCGTCGGGGCGGCCCAGCGCACGCCAGAGGCCCCGCTCCAGGGCAACGCGCCCGCGCCGCCTCGCCGCACGCCGAGCCGCAGAGGCCCCTAGCCAAGAAGCCTCCTCCCGACGAATATATCGCACGGGCCATTCCGCCTGCCGGTGGCGGCCCCCCGCAGCCAGATCCCAGTGTTCTCCAGCAGCACCTGCGCACCTGGACATGCGGACCGGTGCGACAGAACCGCTGGATAGGGAACTTGAGCCAAAATGGTTACGGACGCACTTGAGCCAAAATGGCTACGGACGCACGTATACATATATATATATATATACACACATACATATATACACACAAGACTGTATTGGCGCTGCGCGCCATGCACCTTGGTCCTTTGGAATTCGCACGCTAGCGGAGTGCGAGCGTGCGTACATGCGCACACGCATGCGTCTATGAATGCATAGTACATATGTACATATATGTATACGTTTGTATTGATATGTACATGTATATGCACACGGTCAGTGTAACTATGCGTGCGCATACACATGCGTATATCAGGCGGTAGTGGCCTGACCAGTTGCTCATATCATCGCGCCACTAAAAGGCGCGAGGGTCTCAAGCAAACGTGGTCAGACTACCATGGGGCAGTGCGTCGCCGAGGTCAGCGTTGCGAGGACGTCCCGGGTGAAAATGGCCCGAACGCCTCCGCTCAGGGGAGGGCATATCCGAAGTCAGCCGCGCGAGGAAGTTTCAAGCGAGGAGTTTTCTGAACACCTCTGCCCAGGGCATCCTTGAACATAGAGTTGCGAGAAGTCGCGCGCGAAAGTGGCCGAACCACCATAGTGCAAGGCACCTCCGAAGTGAGACTTGCGAGAGTGTCTCAGGCGACAGTGGCTGGAACACCTCAACTGAGAGCGTCTCGGGCCCCAGAGCTGCGACGATGTCTCAAGCGAAAACGGCGAGACCGATGCGAAGCAAGGCGCTTCTGAGGTCGGAGTTGCGAGCATATCTCTGGCGAAGCGGATTGGACTACTTTCCGTTATCTCCTCGTCCTCCTTCCCCTTTTCCTTTCCTTTCCTCCTCCTCCTCCTCCCCCTCCTCCTCCTGTTCCTCCTCCTCTTCCTCTCACCCCTCTCCGCTTCTTTTTTGTCCATTATCCCCATCCCTGGCGGCGCGGCGCGGTGCCGCTCGGCCTCTCTGCGAGTCAAGCGGCGAAAGGTGAGAGAACCCCCCCGAATTAGGAGCGGTTTTTCCCAAGCCGCCACGGGGGCCCGAAGGTAATGCAAGAGGCGGTGCAGGTTTTGAAATCCCCCAGGGGCCCCTCGGATTCGGCCGGCCTTCTCCGGTAAGGTAGGCAAGGGCACCGCGTCCAGGTGCTCAATCCCCCGTATCCCCCTCCCCTCGTCTTCGTTCCCTCCTCCATGACAAAGATAAGGGAAAATGAGAGGGGGAGACCGCTGTGTTGGGATCTCGTGGTGCGCCTCTCGGGGCCCTCTGGGAGGCGAGGCAGTTTTGAAGCCTCTTGGGGGTGTTTTGGGGTTCTTGGGATCTTTTTGGGGCCTCTTGGGGGCCTCCTGGGGGCTCCTTGGGGCCTCTTGGGAGCCTCTTGGGGCCTCATGGGGTTTTCTCCGGGCCTCTTGGGGCCCTCTCGCGGCTGAAAATTTTGTTTCTTTAAATTTTGGGCGCCCTCTTGGGTCTCTCTTGGGGCCGTCTTGGTGCTCTCTTGGGCCGTCTTGGGCGCCTCTTAGGCGGTCTCGGAGCCCTCCTGGACCGTGTCGGAGCCTTCTTGGGGGCCTCGTGGGCAGTATTGGGGCGATCTAGGGAGTCTCTTGGGCCATTGTGGAGCGTCGGGAAGCGGGAAAAGCGAGAAGGCCAAAAACATAGAAAAACACACAGGAAAATCAACAATTGTAGCCTCTCGGGGCTCTCTTGGGAGGCCGCTTGGGGGTCTCTGGGGGCGTCTTGGACGCGTCTTGGGCAGTCTTGGGCCCAGATTGGGCGTCTTGGGCCGATCTTTGGGTGTCTCGGGGCCCTCTGTGGCCGTCGTGTTTTTTTTTTTCGCGACGCACTCGCAGGACAGACACGGAGCACTCTGCAGGAGCGCCCCAAAGGCTCGGGGAGGCCGAAATTCGTTTGGGGGGGGGGCACCGTGTGCCGCTTTTCCGGGGTCCCCGGCCCCGTAAAAATATATAAATAGGAATGAATATATGAATATCTATATATATATACACACATACACATTTGGTCAACATTTGGTCTTGTCAGTGTTTACGCGTCTCCCCTGACCTTGTCGGCGATGCATTGGCGACGTCGGCGTGGGAAAATCGGGCTCCACATCGAGCCGCATCGCCGATGCATCGGCGATGCGGCGCGGCCCTCCGACCCCACCTGATCGGACGCCATCTGGTAGACCCAGAATAATCCCCACCTCCCTCCTGGCCGCCCCCGAGTGGCCGACGGAGGGAGAGCCCCCCCTCCCCGGGAGGCGGCCGGGCGGCCTCCCAGGTGCGACCCCCGTCGTCCGAGGCGGCGATGCGCACCGCCTGCGCGGAGCTCGGGGCAGGCCTCCCCGCGTCGAGCCTGCGCCAGGGGGGGGGAGGGGGCACGGGGCCCAGACCACTCGAATCATGGAACGAAGATGACGGGATGCTTTTCGCCATGTTCGGGCCTCGGGACCGTCAAGAAATAACTCAGGACGAAAAATCGGTCCCGGGGATTGGGTCGAGACCTCCGGGGGTCGACGTGACGAACAAATCATGACGTCGGGTTTCTGGGGGAGGGGAGAGGATCAGCGACCGACGTTCGATCGATACCCCTGCCGCTGCCCCCCACTCTTGGCGCCAAGGGGAGCACGGCATGGATACAAAACTCGGCTCCAGAGGCCAGATGCTTTATCCAAGCCGCCTCTAGCCCCTCGTCGGATTTGGGCGTGGGCAGGGGCATAAGGCGTCGATCGCCTGGAGGAGGGGGAGGGGCAAAGGGAGAAGAGAGGAGGGGGACAATCTCCGCCTCTTCTCGGCAAGAGATTTTCAACCGTCCTGGCCTCTAGGGGCCCTCGCCGGGCCCTGGGATCGGTAAAAAACATCCCGGGGTGAAGCGCCGGTCCCGGGGGAAAGGTCCAGACCTCTGGGGATCGACCTTGTGAAAAAGTCACGGCGTCAGAGCTCTGGGGAGGGCAGAGGAGGGAACGGTCGACCGGGAGGGCATGCCATCTTGGGGTTTGAGCGACCTTTCCCCCTCTTCCCTCCTGATGGCATCAGAATCGAAACCGACGCCATTTCCCCTGCCCGGCGGCGCCGTGTGGCGCGCCAGGCGGGGCAATTCCGAAAATGGGCAGCTGGTGCATGGCAACGGGCTGCGGACATCCTCCTCTTTCCTCCTCCCCCTCCTCCTCTTTCCTCCTCCCACTCCTCCTCACCCCTCGCCTTCCTTCTCCTCCTCTTCCTCCTCCTCCTTACATCGCCCTCTTCCTTCTACTCCTCCCTGGAACTGGGGGTTTCAATGGTATCGCAGAGGCCCCAGGAGTTCACAAGAGACCCCAGAAGGCCTCAAGAGGCTGGAATGCTGGAGATCTGGGAATCCATGGCCCAAGGATTTTCAACAATTACGCGACCGAGGAACCCCACATACTTATATTATGGCTGGGGTGATGATAGCTGAAGTGGAGCATGTGAGAATGATGTTGGTGGCCGTTACCCGGCCGATACCGTTGGTGACGCCACTCAAGAGGAGAGGTGGAAGAGGAGAAGCGCCACGCTTGCTATGCCCTGGACGACCGTCGTGCATAGTAGCCGCGGTGAGGGACCACCCCCTGCGCACCCTCTATGATGTCGAACAAAATGCCACGCTTGCTATGCCCTGGACGACCGTCGTGCATAGTGGCCGCGGTGAGGGACCAACCCCCGCGCACCCTCTATGGTGTCGAGAATGTGCCACGCCTGCTATGCCCTGGACCACCGTCGTGCATAGCGGCCGCAGTGAGGGACCACCCCCTGCGCACACCCTATGGTGTCGAGAAAGTGCCACGCCTGCTATGCCTTGGACGACCATCGTGCATAGCGGCCGCGGTGAGGGACCACCCCCTGCACACCCCCTATGGTGTCGAGAAAGTGCCACGGCTGCCATGCGCTGGACGACCGTCGTGCATAGCGGCCGCGGTGAGGGACCACCCCCTGCGCACCCCCTATGGTGTCGAGAAAGTGCCACGCCTGCTATGCCCTGGACGACCGTCGTGCATAGCGGCCGCGGTGAGGGACCACCCCCTGCGCACCCCCTATGGTGTCGAGAAAGTGCCACGCTTGCTATGCCCTGGACGACCGTCGTGCATAGCGGCCGCGGTGAGGGACCACCCCCTGCGCACCTTTATGGTGTCGAGAATGTGCCACGCCTGCTTTGCCCTGGACGACCGTCGTGCATAGCGGCCGCGGTGAGGGACCACCCCCTGCACACCCTCTATGGTGTCGAGAAAATGTCACAGCTGCCATGCCCTGGACGACCGTCGTGCATAGCGGCCGCGGTGAGGGACCACCCCCTGCGCACCCTCTATGGTGTCGAGAAAGTGCCACGGCTGCCATGCCCTGGGCGAGTGCCACGGCTGCCATGCCCTGGGCGACCGTCGTGCATAGCGGCCGCGGTGAGGGACCACCCCCTGCGCACCCCCTAATGGTGTCGAGAAAGTGCCACGCCTGCTATGCCCTGGACGACCGTCGTGCATAGCGGCCGCGGTGAGGGACCACCCCCTGCGCACCCCCTATGGTGTCGAGAAAGTGCCACGCTTGCTATGCCCTGGACGACCGTCGTGCATAGCGGCCGCGGTGAGGGACCACCCCCTGCGCACCCCCGATGGTGTCGAGGAAGTGCCACGCCTGCTATGCCCTGGACGACCGTCGTGCATAGCGGCCGCGGTGAGGGACCACCCCGTGCGCACCCCCTATGGTGTCGAGAGAGTGCCACGCCTGCTATGCCCTGGACGACCGTCGTGCATAGCGGCCGCGGTCAGGGACCACCCCCTGCGCACTCTCTATGGTGTCGAGAAAGTGCCACGCCTGCTATGCCCTGGACGACCGTCGTGCATAGCGGCCGCGGTGCGGGACCACCCCCTGCGCACCCTCTATGGTGTCGAAAAAATGCCACGCTTGCTATGCCCTGGACGACCGTCGTGCATAGTGGCCGCGGTGAGGGACCACCCCCCGCGCACCCTCTATGGTGTCGAGAATGTGCCACGCCTGCTATGCCCTGGACCACCGTCGTGCATAGCGGCCGCAGTGAGGGACCACCCCCTGCGCACCCCGTATGGTGTCGAGAAAGTGCCACGCCTGCTATGCCCTGGACGACCGGCGCGCATAGCGGCCGCGGTGAGGGACCACCCCCTGCGCACCCTCTATGGTGTCGAGAAAGTGCCACGCCTGCTATGCCCTGGACGACCGTCGTGCATAGCGGCCGCGGTCAGGGACCACCCCCTGCGCACCCCGTATGGTGTCGAAAGTGCCACGCCTGCTATGCCCTGGACGACGGCGCGCATAGCGGCCGCGGTGAGGGACCACCCCCTGCGCACCCCCTATGGTGTCGAGAAAGTGCCACGCCTGCTATGCCCTGGACGACCGTCGTGCATAGCGGCAGCGGTGAGGGACCCCCCCTGCGCACCCCCTACGGTGTCGAGAATGCGCCACGCCTGCTATGCCCTGGACGACCGTCGTGCGTAGCGGCCGCGGTGAGAGACCACCCCCTGCGCACCCCCTATGGTGTCGTGTCTGTGTCGGTGTGCCTGCGTATGTATGTATGTATGTATGTCACGTCTGCGACGCTTTGCGGGAGAGGGAGGTGTGTGTGAGACGCGGGTGCGACGCGGCAGGGAAGAAAACCCAAACCCCACGAAACATGTGGGGAACAAACAGTTCTGGGAATCCATGGCCCAAGGATTTTCAAGAAAAAACAATGGAACATTATTGAAGTGCTGGACTGTCTAAAACGTGTAAACTGTTCGAAACATGCTGAAACGTATGAAAGCAATGGTTACCCTAATTTCGGGGGATCCCGGAGATCTGGGAACCCAGGGTCCCCAGATAACCAACAGATGTTGCAATATAACCGCCAAAAAAGTTTGCACTACTGTGGAAAATTCCCCCCCCCCCCCCCCCTCTTCCTCCGGAAACCGGGGGTTTCCCCCACCCCCCTTCGAAAATCCCCCCTCCCTGCTGGACCCCCCTCCCCCTTCTCCGCTGCATACCCCCCCCACTCCCCTCCAGAAAAACTGGGGAGGGTGGTCACTACCAGGGGGGGTCACTACCGGTTCGACCACTCCCCTCTGGAAAACTGGAGGGGATCACTACTGGTTCGAACCCCCCCCCGCCTTCCGGGGGGTCACCACCGGTTCGAAGCCCCCCCCCATTCACCGCCGGCAAACGACTCCCGGGTCACCACCACCGTCCGCACCACATCCCCCACTGCTGTCCCCACCACCAATGTCCCCGCCACCACTGCCCCCGCTGTTCCCACCACCGTCCCCACAGTCCCCACCAGTGCCCCCGCCACTGTCGCACTGTCCCCACTGTCCCCACCACCGTTCCCACCGCGGTCCCACTCTCCCCACTTCCCCCACGGTCCCCACCACTGTCCCAGTGTCCCCACTGTCCCCACTTTCCCGCCGTCCCAGTGTCCCCGCCGCTGTCCCACTGAGCTGTCCCACTGTTCCCACCACTGTCCCCACTGTCCCCACCACTGTCCCCACCAGTGCCCCCACCACTGTCGCACTGTCCCCACTGTCCCTGCCACTGTTCCCACCACGGTCCCACTCTCCCCACTTTCCCCACGGCCCCCACCACTGTCACAGTTCCCCACTGTCCCCACTCCCACCGTCCCAGTGTCCCCGCCGCTGTCCCACTGAGCTGTCCCACTGTCCCCACCACTGTCCCCATTGTCCCCACCACTGTCCCCACTGTACCTCTGTCCCATTGTCCTACCACCGTCCTCGCCACCGCCCTCACCGCTGTCCCCACCACCACTGTCCCCACCACAGTCCCACTGTCCCCACTGTCCCTACCACTGTCCCACTGTCCCCACACCACTTTCCCCACCACTGTCCCACAGTCCCCATCACTGTCCCACTGTCCCCCACTGTTCCCACCAGTGTCCCCGCTGTCCCCACGAGTGCCCCCATCAGTGTCTCACTGTGCCCACTCTCCCCACCACTGTCCCACCACAGTCCCGCTCCCCCCACTGTCCCTACTTTCCCCACCAGTGTCCCACTGTCCCCACTGTTCCAACCACTGTCCCACGGTCCCCACTGCCCCCGCCGCTGTCTCACTGTGCTGTCCCACTGTCCCGCTGTCCCCTCGCCGCTGTCCCCACCACCACAATCCCCACCACCGTCCCACTGTCCGCACCACTGTCCCACTGTCCGAGAGAACGCGTTTCACGGGCGCTCGCCTTGGGAACATTCGGCGGCGCGTTTCAAACAGGGGGGTGAGCCCCACCCCAACACTCGGCGCCGTCGATCAAAACCAGGGGGACTCCCTTCCCCCCCAAACGCACCCCCATCCCGACCCCCCCCGCTACCCCCCCCCTCCCAATGGGGGGGGCGGTTCAGACCCCCCCCCTTCGGCGCCGGCGCCGGCGCTGGCGGCCGCCAGCAGCGCCCACGGCGGGACGCAGCGACGACCAGAGGCAGCCCAGGGGGGGAGGGGGTTCACCCCCCCCCCCCCTCCCCCCCAAGGTGGGGGGGGTCAAAACCCCCTCCCCCTTGCGGCGCCGGCGCTGGCGGCGGCCAGCAGCGCCGGCGCTGGCGCCGGCGACGGCGGGGACGCAGCGACGATGACCACCACTACCAGGACCACCACCACTACCACCACCACAACCACCGCCTCAACCCACCACCACTACCACTACCACCAACAGCACCTCACAACCATCACCACCACCACCACAGCCACCACCACCACCACCACCACAACCACTACCGCAACTCACCATCATCACCACCACAACCACAAAAACCCACCACCACCACCACCACAATCTACCACACCACCACCACCACTACCAGCAGCACAAACCACCGCCACCACCACAAACCACCACACCACCACCACCACCGCCGCCACCACCACCACCACAACAAACGTCCACAAACCACCGCCACCACCACAATCCACCACAACCACCAAACCACCACCACACCACCACAACCACCTCCACCACCACAACTCACCATCACCACCACCACCACCACAAAAACCCACCACCACTACCACCACCACGACAATCTACCACACCACCACCAACCACCACTACCAGAAGCACAACCCACCACCACCACCACCACCACCACCACCACAAGCACCACCTCCACAAACCACCGCCACAACCACATCCCACCACCAGCACCACAAACCACCACCACACGACTTGCAAACCACCACCACGACCACCATAACCCACCACCACCACCACAAACCGCCACCACACCACCACCAAACCACCACCACCACCACCACCACCACCACCCACCGCCACAACCACCACCACCACAACAAACCACCACGCCACCACCACCACAACCACCACCACCACCACCGCCGCCACCACCACAAACCACCACCACCACCACCGTCGTCCTCGTCGACGCTCCCCGCCACCGCCGCCCGCCGCCGCAGGGGCTGGCGCCGGCCAAGAAATGGAAATCGTCGTGGGGAAGCAGGGGGGGGGGTCACCCTCCCACCTCCGTCACGAGAAGGGGGGGGAGGGGGGGGGTTCGAACCCCCCCCTCCGTCACGGGACGGGGAAGGGGGGTGTCTGGTTCCAACCTCCCCTCCAAGCGACCACGGAACGCGCTCCTTCCACTGTCCCCGCCCTACTGTCCCCACCACCACCGTCCCCACCACTGTTCCAGTATCCCCACCACTGCTGTCCAATTGTTCCGAGGCGAGGGAATCGTTTGCTGGCGGCGAGGGGGGGGGAGCTCGAACCGGTAGTGACCCCCCCGCTTTCATGATGGACTGGAGGGAGGGGGGGGTTCAAACCGGTAGTGACCCCTCCCCGGTTTTCGAGGGGGGGGACGGGTTGGGAACCCCCAGTGAACCCCCCCGGTTTTCCGCCAGCAGCGGTAGAACACGCTCTTTCGGAAGTTTGAAGCACTTAAACATTCTGAAATCCCTGATGTCCACGATTTCGGGAAATCATGGAGCACCCTGGGACCTCTTGGGGTCTCCTGGGACCTCCTGGGGGCTCGTGGTGCCTCCTGGAACCTCCGAGGGCCTCCTGGGGATTCCTGGAGCCTCCTGTAACCCCCCCGGGGCCTCCCAGGACCTCCTATGCCCTCCTGGGGCTTCCCGGGGTCCCTGGGACCTCCCCAGGGCCTGCTGGGACCTCCCCTGGGGTCCTAGAGCCTCCTGAGACCTCCTGAAGCCCCTGGACACGCTGCTCCCGCCCCTGGCCCCGCGGCGCCGGATGAAAACATTGACCCTGTGCAGACCTCGTTCTTGTCACAACCAAGAAGCGACGTCTGCGCAAAACTCCGAGATGTGAAGCCTTCTGGCCTTCGGAGACCCTTCTCGTCGACAAGGTTAGACGCTGCTCGGCAAATTGATGCGTTGGGCATCGGGAAGGGTCCCGGGACCAGTCTTGAGCGGATGTCGGGTCAGGCGGCACCCACTATAAAGCTTCTCGTCGAAAGCCCTCACTGAGCAACCTGGAGAGACTTCCAGCTCAAGTTTTCCTGCGCCGCGTCGGTACCCCCAGGCCCCAAAATGTCAATGCTGACGCAGAAACAAATGACTTCACACTTTTCTATGGCGTCCGCGAATCGTGCAGCGCGCACAAGTGAACATTGAAATTGGGGACGAGGGGGGCTCGGCACAACTTGCTTTGAGTTTCGCGGAGTGTTGTGGTAGAGGGCGCAACGGAAAAGCGCCGAGACTGAAGAGCGCCACCCTCCGGAAATCCTGGTCCAATCCAAGGCCGTCCGCCACCAACCACGTCGGTTTGGACGCCCGAAGTGGATACGAAAAACATCGGTATGATGCTCAACATCAAATGTTGTCCGAAACCGACAGAGGCCGCTGTTGGGCAGGGGCGGCCTGTGTATCAGAGGGACAACGTCCGCGGCGACATTGACAGCGAATCCTGCTCAAAATGGTCAGGAACTGCTGTGCTCGGAGGCGACGATGCGGACGACTGGCCCAGAGGGAATCAATGCATGTATCTAGGGACCCCGATGGTCCATGTCTTCGGCGGAGCTCCCCAAGGAATACGTGCAGCGCCCGCCTCTGGGCTACTCGCCCCTCCATTCTTTCCGTACCTATTTCGACTGTACCGATCGGCGGCCGGACAGTGTCGTCGTCGCACCGGCGAAAGGAATGAGGCGTGGCCTCAAGCGCAGGCAGGCGCCCGCGACGGACCACTGGTCCTCGGCGAGCTGCCTGACCTGGACGTCGCGGCGCGTGCGCCATATCCTCCTGCTGATGCCCCTCCTCCTCCTCCTCTCCTCTCCTCTTGCTCCTCCTCCTCCTCCTCCTGCTCATCCTCATCCTCATCCTCATCCTCATCCTCACCCTCATCCTCATCCTCATCCTCATCCTCATCCTCATCCTCATCCTCATCCTCATCCTCATCCTCATCCTCATCCTCATCCTCATCCTCATCCTCATCATCATCATCATCATCATCATCATCATCATCATCATCATAATCATCATCATCATCACCATCATCACCATCATCATCACCATCATCATCATCGTCATCATCGTCATCATCATCCTCAGCATCAGCATCAGCATCAGCATCAACATCAACATCATCATCGTCCGCCTACTCCGCCTCCTCTAGGTCGGCTGAACGCAAGAGTGACCCTAGGCACGAGTGACCTTTGGTGCGCGGCTTTGGGGGGTCCCCGGGGGCGCCAAATCCAAGCGTGCAGGCCAGTGCTGGGGGGACCCCTGCGGGCCCGCACCAGAGATCACTCCTGCGAGAGGTCACTCTTACGCGCAGCCGACCAGGCCACCCTAACTCCGCGCATCGCGTCAGGCGATACGCGATCATCTCCGCGCCCTCGCGCCGCCCTCTTGGAGAAGGGCAGCCGCTCTGGCCCAGACAGCGGCGGGCGACGCGCGATCATCTCTGTGCCCGGGCGGGTGGCCTAGTAGCCTCCTCCTGCTCCTGCCCAAGACATGAGGAGGCGCTTCGATGTTGCCCGATGCGTGGGCCCCCAGACCGCTCGACCCCTTTTCCCCATGGGCCGGATTTCCACTCCTAGCCCCTACGTAGCCATATTTTGATGGTTGAGGCCAGGCAAGGCCCCCATCGAGGACGAAAATGGCGGAAACACTTCCGCAGGTTCGTGTCGGGACGACTTCGGCCTTGGCTTCTGACACTCCGCGGATCGTTCGACCTTGAGCGATCGGGGCTTCCGGATGGCGCCGATCATTGGCAAAGCATTCGATATCGGCCCACTCCAGGTCATCAGCGGCGTTCAGCCTCAAACGGCCACGCTGGGGTCGCCGCAGCGTCGACACGTCACGCTCGACGCCAGGGGACCTGGGTCTAGGCCTGGGAGACCAACATCGGACCCTGGACCTGTCACAGAGTGCGCCTGGGCCAGAATTCCGAAGGGGAGCCCAGCCGCGAAAACGAGGAGGCTCCAAAAGGTCAGAGAGACACACAACGTCCAAACACCTCGAATCTCGAAGTTCGAATCTCGAGCCATCACCCTCTTCCTTTCCAGAACTTCGACGTCAAGATGCTTTCACAACGTCGACGCGCAGAGGCCTGGACCCGGGACCAGTTTTTCACCCAGGGGCGTTTTTTTTACTGTCCCGGGGACGGGCGGCTTTCGTCTGAAAGGGGCGCACTCCGACTAGAACTTCGGAGAACCCCGTCTCCGAGGTCCTGCCCAGCGCGCTCCTGGCGGCGGGGACCTTCCTCGTTCCGCGGCGGGAAGAATCCAGCATCGGCGACGAAGGCTCCCCAGCACACGCAGCGGTGTGGGTATTCCATGGTAGTGGTTCGCTAGAGGGTTCTGACCGTGGGAAAAAAAAAACAACGGAGGAGTCCCACAAGGGGGACTGGGAGCTCTAGACCGCCCAGTCGGCAGCCGTTTCGCCTGAGACTTCCACACACAGTATGTTGGAATCGTTCTCTCGCCGCAATGCTGGCTACACTTGTGGTCCAGACGGCCACGATCCCTGGATTACAAAGACACGCTGAGATGCACATGAGAATGCTTGTCCTCAGAATCCCTGGGAATACCCAGGAATGTACGTTTTCACTCGCCGACCTTCTACTCCTCGGCCCGCCTCTTAACCCTTGCTGCGATTCGGATGCTTTGCTGGGGTAATATGTTCCTCCTCTGACGACCCTCGAAATTCGGCGGGATGCGGTCGCTCCCAGGAACATCGCAGCAGATTAAAGACTTTTGAGGGGGGAGGAGGGGAAGGAGGACTGGAAGGAGGAGGAGCATGAGGAGGAGGAGGACGGGGAAGAGGAGGATGAGGGAAGATGAGGGCGAGGAGGCTGAGTAAGAGGATGAGGACGGGGAGAGCGCCCCAGGAACGCCCCAAGAAGGCTCCAAGAGGCTTCCAGAGAGAAAAACGAGAAGGCCACTGTCGTTGACTCCTGTCGGCGTCGATGTATTCCTCGAGCCCGCGCGCGGGGACGCCTCCAGGTGCTGCCAGCCGTGGTGGGCCAGGGCCGCGTCCAGCGCGCGGCCGAGGTCCTGCGGGTGCCCCGCGTGCCCGCCCATGGTTTTTCCCCCCACCCCCCCTCGAGGACCGGCCAGGGCACTCGAGGGGGGGAGGAGGAGGAGGAGGAGGAGGAGGAGGAGGAGGAGGAGGAGGAGGAGGAGGAGGAGGAGGAGGAGGAGGAGGAATGAGGAGGAGGAGGAGGAGGAGGAGGAGGAGGAGGATTTTTTCACTGTGTGCGACGCCAAGCCAAACTCTGCAGGCAGGTTAAGACTGGGCGGCCGAAAATGGCGGGGAGCACGGGCCCCTACTTACCTTTGAAGTTCTTGACGCGACGAGCGGCATGAAAATGAAGAAGTGCATGAAGCCGACTACGACGCAAAGCGGCGACACCCCAGAAGAAGCAGAAGTCGCCGCCGAAGGTGAAGCCAGAGAAGAAAACCATCAGCTCGAACAGGCACCCGCACACACCTCGTGCTCTACACCGACCTCGAAACAGGCGACGAGATCGTGAAAGTCCATTTCGCCAGCACGCGCAAGAGCAACATAAGCTTCCCGCAAAATGGGCGAAGCGCGGAGGAGGAGGAGGAGGAGGAGGAGGAGGAGCAGCAGGAGGAGGGGAAGAGGAGGAGGAGGAGGAGGAGGAGGAGGAGCATCAGGAGGAGGAGGAACATCAGGAGGAGGACGACGAGGAGGAGGAGGAGGGAAATGAGGAGGAGAAGGAGGATGAGCAGGAGGAGGTGTAAGAACAGGAGGCGGAGGCGGAGGAGGAGGAGGCAGGAAAGGGGGAGGAGGCGGAGAAGGAGGAGGCGCAGGAGGAAAAGGAGGTGGAGGAGGTCACGGGAGAGAAGAAGGAGTAGCAGGATGAGGAGGATGAGGCGGAGGAGGAAGAGGAGTAGGAGGAGGAAGAGGCGGAGGAAGCGGAACAAGAGGAGGATGCGGAGGAGGGGGAGGAGAAGGCGGAAAAAGAGGAGGATGGGGAGAAGGAGGAGAAAGATGATGAGAAGGAAGAGGAGGAGGAGGAAGAGGAGCAGAAGGAGTGGGAGGAGAAGGAGGAAGAGCAGGAGTAGGAGGATGAGGGGGAGGAGCAGAGGAGGAGGAGGAGGAGGAGGAGGAGGAGCGTAAGCAGGAGGAGCAGGAGGAGCAGTAGGAGGATGATAACTAAAAGCAGGGAGAGGCGGAGATGGCGGCGGAGGAGGAACAGGAGGATGAGGAGGAGCAGGATGTCGAGGAGGATAAGGAGGAGGGATACTATGAGGATGATGAGGAGTTGGAGGAAGAGGAGGGCGAGAATGAGGAGGACGAGGAGGAAGAGGAGCATAAGGAGGAGACGGAGGAGGAGGAGGAGGAGGAGGAG